ATTTATTGTCAAAATCAGTCTTTTTATTTATTTTATGGCAATTACTTCTTGAGTTTATTAGTTTATACATACTACATGAATTTTTCAAAAATTATTATGTGTTTTTAATTCTCATGGATGTCGCAGGTTCATTCACATAAAAAGGTAATTATTTACCAAATCCTTGCATATTTATCGACTATTTTCGCATAATCTATTGCATAATATGTTTGCACTTGCTCAATTATCTTCGTTTGTCTATCGCATAATTGTATAATGAAGTCGTACTCAGTTATCTTCTTTTTTTGCATTAAATAATAATTATGCGAGTAATAATCGCTGATTATGAATTTACCAAATATGTAAAATTAATATGTATATAACGTTTTGCCTAATCATCACATATTTTAATAGAAAAATAAACGAAATGGTTATGCAGAGTTTGACACATTTTTAATAAAGAAATAAATATAATGATTCTTGGGATTCAATATTCATATCTTTTAACAGTCTATCAAAGTGTATCTGAAATGTTTCTACTATTTTTTTCTTATTTTTTTGTATCAAATAATAACTATGTGAAGCATATGCGTAAGAGTGATGTCGAGTAATAATCGCCGAGTACGAATTTATCAAAAATAAAATTTCAAATAAATTAATTTGAGAATAAAGTTTCAAATAAATTAATTTGCGATTAATTATGCCTATGAAAATTTGCCTAATAATCGTATAACTTAATAAAAAAATATATATACTTTTTTTAAAATAAACTCGTATATTACTAAAATGCGATAGACCATGTTCACCCAGATCTCTACATATATACGTCGTTTGTATGTCACGTAGTTTATCGCATAATGTTTACTTATGTGCTCAATTGTCTTCATATATCTGTCGCATATTTAATTCGCATTTGCTCAATTAACTTCGCCTAGTTGTCGTATAGTTCATCGCAATATATTTTTGTTTAACTTTCTCATTAACTCGCATTTATGTTGCATAGTTGATCGCGTATGTATTGCATTATGCTCGATTATTGTTGCTTGTCTGCTGCACTCAAACTTGCATAAATAATTTGCATTTGTCAAATTATCTTCGTCTGCCTATCTCATAGTTTATCAAATAATTCACGCTTGTCTAATAATCTTTTCGCATGTCTGGCTCATGGTTTATCGCATAATTGGTTTTGCACTTTATTATTTATCTTCGTCTTTCTGTCACATAGTTTATTGCATAATATGTTTTGCACTTTGTCAGTTAACTTCGCTTTTTTATCACATAAGTTATCTCATAAGATTTTCCACACTTTATGAATTATGTTCACCTTTTTTTTTTTTTT